ACGGGGAGGAGAGGACGGGGCAAACAAAACGGGCAATCATGACAGGAGAGGGGTAGGAAAAATGATGGGAAGGGGATTGTGGGGGAGGGGAGGACAGGAATAACAAAACAGGCAATCATGACAGGAGAGGGGGATGGGGAAATGTGGGGAAAGGAAACAGAAAGGGAAAAGATACAAGGGAAAGGGAAGTACTAGGAGAAAAAAGGAGATAATACAGGCAGACGAGGTGAATGGAGGAATGAGGAGCAGTAGGGGAGAGTGGGAGAGAGTGACAGTGGGGGAAGAGAATAGAGGGGAGAAGGAATGGTGGAGGAAGGGGATAGAGAGATAAGAAGATAGAGGGGTAAGGGGATAGAAGGGTAAGGGGATAGAGGGGTAAAGGGATAGAGGGGTAAGGGGAGAGAGGGGTAAGGGGAGAGAGGGGTAAGGGGATAGAGGGGTAAGGGGATAACGGGGGAAAGGGAAAAGGGGGGAACAAAGCAGACAGTCTTGAGCAGATAAGACAGGTCCACCTTGCTCGGTGGAGTAGCTAATCCAGACATATGATAAGCTTTAATTTACTTGCTTGCGGAACCATTAATGAATAAAAATAATAATGATAAAACAACCATTTCAGTTAATTTAAGTCACGGTACCTGGTCGTGCGAGAGCCACATTGAGTCCCTTACGAATAACAGTCATCAATGAATCCACGGCTAGTTTCCAGGTGGACTGGGACGAGCAGCTGTACTTGAGACGAAGAGGATTGCGCAAAGACTGGAAACAGGGATGATCCATTTAGTATTTTTGTTTTCATTATACAATCAAAACAGAAAAGGTTCAATACAATATCAATACAAAAATTGTAAGAATCTAAAACGTTCATAACGCCTTGAAGAAAAGTAAACCTCGTTCGTTCCAACATGCGTAGCTGACAGTTTTGTATGCGCTTTGAAAACCGAGAATACGAGCACCGAGGCCGCGAGAGGATTGGGACCGGAGATAATGGAAAAGGGGCACACGGAACTTCCGGCTACGGAGTCTATGTTCGTTCAGATTTGTCGCAGCCATTGTTTCACGAGGAAAGATAGGTTAAGCATGAAATTTACGGCTTACGGAAAAAAACGTTTGACTTCTTGACCTCTGATTAAAATACGAGTGCAGTACTGCCGTTTGCTGTTGTCGCAGCTTGAAAGCCATGCTTAAACTCCCTCATATCTTTGAAAGAGTTGCCCTTTTTTTGTGACCGGCCTTTGAACTTAATTTCTCTCTAGTTTTGTTCCATGAAATACGGTTGAAAATTGCTTTACTGTCAGTTTCAATAATTGACTGATTCATAAATTGCCAAAAAAATTCTACACTCGTTCAATATTAACCGCATACTGATAATGTAAATAGATTTAAGAAGCTGATTGCCTCTCGTACCTTGATGATATTCTCTAACACTTTTTCCTCTATAACAGCTGGCTCAGAAAAACATTCCCCATAAAGCACCACAACCATTTCCATGCATTTCTCCGAAAACGGAGTCAACGACAGAATAATCCATTCCTTCTTCCTCCTTCTCGAAGCATGTGCATCCGACGAATCGTCAACTCTAGGAGGTTCCGTTGCGTAATCGAAAAACTGTAGTAACAGTGTGAAAAGTGTCGGATAAATTGGTTGTTTAGAATCGTGCAGAACCGCATTGGAAGAATGAGGAAGAGGCTCACGCAAAATTTCAACAGCATCCAGAATAGCATGTTGTAACGCTGTTAACACGGTATCGTGAAACGAAGGAACTAAAAACGGCGACTGATCTATATGCACAGGAATAGTTACAGAGCTTTGTAGAATTTTCGCAAGCTTCTGTAGATCAGCCATGCCAAAACGACTGTAAATTCTCATGAATAGTGAAGGAAAAATCTGAACTAAGGCTGCCAGAAAAGCTTGTGCAGGGTAAGTTCTAGTTGAAGTGATTTTTCCAGAAGAGTCCCGCCGAGTTCTGAAGATATGTTCCTCCGACATCCTTGTTATGCCGATGTTGTACCAAGCACGCCATGCATTCGTCCACAAATTTAAATCCTCATCTGCGGCTTCACAAAATTTAGGTTTTACTTTAAGTTTAGCAGCTCCTTTTACTGCTCTTTTCTCCTTCCCACTGTCTCCCGGACTCGATGAATTTGCAACAGCGCCATCTTGACTTTCTGACGAATCTTGAACGATGTCTTGAAAACTTTTAAGAGCCGCCAGTGCAACTTCAGCGGATTTACTCAGAGCCGCAGACTCAATAAACTCCAACAACAGCGCCCATGCGCGCGGGAACTCGTCAAGACCCGCCAAAATTTGGCGCCGGTTGTTAAACACACGCGCCACGCCACTAAGAGTCAGAACACGTGTTTCCGCCCACTGTTTTTCAGCGGTATCCCGTGAATGGTGAATAAGGATTTTATTCTTTGAGTTTACCACGTCGCTCGGTGGAGGAACATCAGCCGCTGAAGTAGACATGGCTTTCACTTGTTCAAGCAAAGGAAACAATACCTGGTGACAAATTAAAACGTAATTACCCGTCAGGTTTCCCTCTTTCCTTGCGAATGAGGCGAGCTGTGAAAAAAATTTCTCAATAATTCTTCAGGCCCCGAGAAAAGATAAACATACTATACTTCCTTCCAATATCGAAACATTATCCAATAAAACAGTGACGAGAAAAGACAAAATGATCGTCCTGGGAAGGGGGGGGGGTGTTATCTTGACAAAAAAATCAAATTTAATTTATTCATTCGCCACGGGAATGGCAGGAGAAAGGAACATAACTTTCGTCCCAATTGACACCTAACCCCTTTGTACCCACCCATCCCATCC